GGGATAGAGAGAAATAGCAAAAAGTAGGGATAACTTGGACACTCTACGCCAAACGGTTGCTCCAGTGGGATTGGAAGGTGGTGATGTGCAGGCTGGGGTTGAACAATATTTGTTACATCATTCCTGTGGTCTCAAAGCGTTGCAAAGAGAAAATCACTTTGGAATGCTCTAGTTTGACATGAAGGGACAAAGGGCGAGAAACCTTGGAGAGGTGGGACGCGTGCGGGTTGTGAGCATCGGAAGGGGACACTGGTGGCCACCGCTGGGTTGTGGGGGTACACCACTGGGTGGATATTGGGAGGTGGATGGTGGCAGCAGTACCGCACTATGACCATCCTATCACATGAGTGAATGCAGTGCATGTACAGGTCTTCGGACAGTAGTAGTTTCATGGATTATTGTCTTTACCCACATGCAAATTGTGAGGATTATGAAGGCCATTTCCTGGCAGTTTTGGCATTCCTATCACTGTCTGCATGTTTCTTTACTCATTGTTTGCTCTTTGCTGTTGTGATGGTGGTCTGCAGAGAGCAGTTGGAAAGGACTCGGATTCTCCTCGATTTCAAGCAATCCTCTGTGCTACGAACGGCGAGTGCAGCACATCTGAGCTGCCGATGGAGGTCGTGATGGAAGACTGCGCTCCTGTGTCCAAGGCAGGTGCTGAAGCATGCAAAGGATCTCTGCATGGCAACCAGGGTTGCACCCTCCGACGGTCGGCGGCCCTTGACTGGTCGGCTGCTGACCCGCCGACTGAACCGCTGGTTGGCACCTACGGGTCGGGGGTGGTCGGTGCAGAACCCCTAATAACACCACCAACACTCCCATAGCGGCCCCCAATACCCTCATCTTATACACATCTAGATGTGTATAAGAGACAGGCCCTTGACTGGTCGGCTGCCGACCCGCCGAGCGATCGGCTGGTCGGCACCCCGCAAAACAAAAAAGAAAAAAAACAGGCATTGGGTCCAGAACCCCTAATAACACCACCAACACTCCCATAGCGGCCCCCAATACCCTCATACACCCCCCCAACACCCATATTACGCCGCCCAANGTGCAGTACAGCCCCCAACTCAGATTTAAAACAAAATCAGTGGATGGTTGTTTTCTGACTGGTCGGCAGACCGCCGACCGGTCGGGCCTACTGGTCGGGTGCAATATGGTCGGCGGTCGGGGCCGGCGGTCGGCAGGGATGCAACCCTGATGGCAACTGGAAACGCGCCAGGGAGTCTGAGGTACATGTATGTGACCCTGTTCGTACCGCTGCCGCTTATCGAGAGCCAGTAGCCTGCAGCACATCTCTGCATCATAATGTGTGAGCAGACTCTCGAGGTGTTCGGTTCTTTTCTGTTTTTTTTGCGGTTGTCAAAATGTAAAAAAAAAAAAAAAGTTCGTGCTAATCTAAGACTGGATTAGATCACGAACAGGGGGCACTAAATGTGTCTGTTACAGGTCCCTTTGTATACAGGAATAGCAAGCATGCTGGACAGAGCGGCTGAAAGGGGATGGGGAGCGGGGTGAAAGTGTAGAGTGCGGATGAGGAAGACGCTGGCAGAGGCGAGGTGTTGTGGTTGGTTCCGATGCTCTGCTGGGGAAAAAAGTATGCAAGGTCCCACTGGAGAACAAAATGGCGTACTAACGGGGGGCAAGAAGGGTGCACAGGAGAGGAGTGGCTGTAAGGGAGGGAATGGGGCGAGTGAGGGGATGGAATGAGAGATGGTTAATGGAGGGCCCAGAATTCGGGGTTTTTCGCCGCATCGCCACAAGCAATGTCGTAGAAAAATTCGTGAACAAACAATGCAGGCTCATAATACAAACATAAAAAAGCAAACAGGCAAAAAGAAACGAAAAAAACACACTCAACAGAAGCACTATAAAACCCTATTCGGAGTAGCTTTCGTAGTTTGCCAATTTTTTTCTCCAAATTGGTGCAATGCAGGGGCATAATACAAACATAAAAAATCCCAAACAGGCAAGAAGAAATGAAACAACAACAACAACAACGCAAAAGCACTGAAAAACTGTATTCGGAGTAGCTTTCAGAGTGCACCGAATTTTTCTCCGAATTCGGTGTTTTTGCCAAACTTTTTCGTTACTGGTCCACATATGCCGAAACTGAATACATACATACAGATATACCCTAAAGCACATACATATCACGAAAAAAAAAAAAAAAAAAAAAGAAGCAAAAATTCAGGGAAATATGACAGAAAATTTTGCCGAAAATGACACCACCATTAGGGGATGGAATACATACGACGAAGGTAGTGGTAAGGGTGGTGTTGTGCCTTTCGGATGCTCTGCAGGAAACAGAGTGAAAGGTTACACAACAACTGCGCTCGGACCTGGCCTGCCGACTCTAGAAAGAAGCGGTAAAGACCTGGGACGGACCTGGTCTGAAAGGGAAAATTTGGGCCTTTAGCCCTTTACCTTAGTGAACTACAGACAAAAGAAGTGGTAGTTTGAGGTGGAGAAGAAAGTGGACTGTGAAGGGGCAATCAAGGTGTATAATGCACATACAGGGAGGGCGCAGATCAGGAAATAGATCAGTAAGTTGCAGGGTAAGTGCTAGGAGAGGAGGGTTTCTCACTTGAGAAGAGAGGCATGCATTCCAGGCTGGTAGCTGCTGAATCCCTTCTCCCTGTATCTTGTGTACAGCATGTCTTCTGTGAATGGGAGACTAGTGCAGCTTGCTAGTAGCTTTGGTGGTCCTGTTTTTTTTTTTTTTTTTTTTTCCTCTCTCAATTTTTTACCTCAAGCTAGCTAGCTATATCTCATGCTATCCAGGCTCCGTATCCTAAGCAGCAGGACGGGATATCTACTCGACTCTATGCAGGGAATAGAGTAGATACAAACCCTCAGCAAGGGATGGCAGGGGATGGCAGGGAATCCCAGTCTCCTACCAAAACACGCTGTTAGGGACAAGCCAACTTATCTCAGCTGGTGAGCACCGAGCCTGCAGCAGGCAGCCGTGGCGGATTGAACCCGCGACCTCCTGAATACCAATTGTATGCTCAACCAATTGAGCTAGGCGTGTCGCACCGGTGGTGGTTCTGTTTCTCTTTTGCAGGTGATTGAGATTCTGAGGGAGAAGTTCGCTGCTGCTAAGAAAGAGGTCGATGGCGAACTGGAGGTGTTTGCAGGGGAAATTGTTGACCTGATGCACGAGTATGCAGATAACCCGCCTTGCAGGGACTGGAAAGACAGGGCTAGGTACTTGTTGCAAGTTGTAACAAAGTGTGCGAAGATGGAGCTGAATGAATTCAGATGGGAGTGCGAGAAGGTTGTCCAGGAGCTGGATGACGAGAGGCAGGCGGCCACAGAGCCGCTGAAGAAGCTGTACACGAGGCTCCTTTTTAACTTAACCCGTTGTACTCGTCTCCTTCAGTATCAAGAGGGTGTGATGCATGATGATACCATCTCAAGGTCGTCAAGCAAGACGGCCTCCACAGATGGACGGCAACTGAAAGCGTCAGGGCTGGTGTCGCCAGTGAAGTTGAAACTAGATACTGAGGGTGTTAATAATAATGTGGTTATGGGAGAACGAAGCACTTGTAATATACCAGTAGGTTGTTTCGATGAGCACATTAAGTCAGTAGGTGCGGAGAAAGAGGATTCGGGAAAACCAGTGAGAGTAGAGGGGTTTTGCAAGGATATTGTAGAGGAGGAGCTAAAAATAGAACTGAAGTTAGTTGATGAGGTGATTGGGAGATTAGAGGTGAGTGAGGAGAATGATCTGTGTATGCGTGAAGCTGTGGAGGATTCTGATATCAAAGGGGCAGGTTTGGACAAGCTTGACAGCGGTGATGGGACAGTTCAGGTGCAGGCAGCGGACAGGGATGGTGATAGATGGCAGGTGTCAGAAGTGGAGGAGAAAGGACACCGAGAGCGACAGAGTTGTGGAAAGAGGGAACAGCAAGATCAGCACCAGCCAGAGGAAAATACGGAAAAGGGAGACGGGAAAGAGGGTGATTGCCTATGGACAGGGGTAGTTGGGCAACATGCTAGAAGCTTTAGCGAAGTCGTAGAGCGAACCATCGGCAGAGAAGATGCTTATCGAATGGAAGAAGGCTGTGCTAGGAATGGGGAGGCAGGTGATGCTGTAGGGGAAGGTAGCAAGGGGGGGTGGTATGGACGTGGATTTGAAAATGAGAGGGTATGTGAAGGACAGGGGGATGAGGAATATAATGAAGAGGTGAGGGATGATATCGGTGGGGGTAACAGCGGGGACGGGGATGACGGGTATAATGGGGGGGATGAGGAGTTTGAAGAAAGATGTGGCTATATGGATGATGAGTATTATTTTCCTGTGGTGTGCCGAATATGTGAAATAGAGGTAAACTCAGCATTTTTTGAGGAACATTCTAGGCTTTGTTCTATTGCGTACCGATGTGAGGCAAAGGGAATGTCGATTGATGACAAGCTGAAGAGGTTGAGTGACGCTTTACTCCAGCTGATCACTGACGAACCGTATTCTTCACCATCACAAGCAAGGTGGCATGGTTCCTGCGGGAGTCTGTTAACGAACCCAAGTGGCACACCTGGTAGAGGAGTGGTTGGAAGTTTTCTTAGTGATGTGAGCACAGGTGGAATTTATGGTTCAATGAGTAGTCCAAGCAGCAGTCCGGCATATTTTGTAAGCCGATTTGCAAGCGAGTGAAAGCACGCAAGAAGCAAGTACTGCAGTAGGGGCTGCCGGTGGTTGTGGGGGAGGAGTAGGGGGAGGAGGTCCAGGTCGAGGTGGAGGTGGAGGAGGAGGAGGAGGAGGAGGAGGAGGAGGATTAGGGGGAGGAGACGGTGTAGGCGTAGGTGTAGCAGGGGTCGGTGGACAAGGAGGTGGTGTGCTGGTTAGGCCGTCAAGTCCTGAATGTGATGGGTGCCAGGTTTCTGGTAGCCATGGAATGTATGGATCAGGTTCTGGTCCTGGATCTGGTGATGATCTGGGCTCCGGATCCGCAGCCACTGCAAGTTCCAGTTCGCATGGTGCCATGTCAAGCAGATCCGTCAGTGTATCCACTGCCCAAGAAAGTTTTGTTGGCCTCATGTATACGAAGAACGGAGCTCTCCGCAAACAGGTGAGATTCCCTTTCACTCTTTTGGCAGTACAGTAAGTAGAAGTTACCAGCCCGGTAGCGCATGATCTTGTCCTCGCTCGAATTCAGAGAGTTGCCATCTCTCTCTTAACGGTGCAGGAGTCTACTGAGTATCACAGCATAGGCAGGCCTTGCGTCCGGTTTCAATTGTTGTCCATTTCATGGGCAACGGCCATGTCACGTCCTACGGCGGTTATGGGTCTAACGAGTCACACACTAAGGTTGGGTTATCCACTGAGAAGCCTTCCCATAACCAAATTCAACTGCTCTCCTCCGAAAAGCATAGAGTGATGTCTATGTTACCTTTCCCGGAGGAGAACTACAGTCTAACTGGTCTCCTCCGTAAAGCATAGAGTGATGTTTCTATGTTACCTTTCCTGGAGGAGAACTACACTCAAGTGTCCTTCATCCCTTTTCCTTTTGGGCCGGGGCAAGGTGGAACTCTGCAATCTTTTGTGAAGCAGGCAGGCTCTGTTCTGGCAAGCCTCAGGTGTTGCGAAGCGGTGTGGTTGATATCGCAGACATACGGTCAGCCAAGGACTTCGGCTACATTTTCTTTTTGATTGGCCTCTTCTCCCTGCCGCCTCTTCCCTCCTCAAAACTGGTCACCGGATTTTGAGATTACCCTCTCTTTTCTCCAGTTTTTGTTTCCTTAATTATCAGAAAATTGAAATTTTTGAAAGTCATGAAAATTGATGGGGATGGGATTGGGATGCACGTGGACATACGGTCCTGGACCGTCCTGATTGCCACCATGTTTTTGTGCCTATTGCTGTGGCCCTCTATGGCCGGGCTTGAGTGGATACTAATGACATGCGACATGTGCCATCCCTGTCTAAATTCCCCCCCCCCCCCTCTCTCCTCCCCCCCTTCGGCAAATTGCACCCCCCACTTACTACTCTCTGTTTGTCTGAACTCGAATGTGTAGTGTTGGACAATCCTCCTTTATATTCTCCCTTTTGCCCTGGCATATCTTATTATGCCACTGGCAGTCGATGCGAAGTCTACAGAGCCTCCTATGCTAATCTTGCTATCCCTGAGCCCCTCAGACTGGCGGAATGCGGAGAGTGTGAAACCCCCAGTACATGGCACCAGCCAACTTGAGAATCGCCACTGAATCACTCCGAAAAAATCCGAGGCTAGGCTTAAACGGACCAAAATGGCTGGTGGCACCACCCAAACCCAAACAAAAACGCCGTGCTGGCATTTTGTCAAAGCATGGCATGCAGGGCGGTTTGAGGCTCATGAATTTAGCCTTGGATGTCCTGGCAGTTTGGGCAGCTATTTATTGGCACACCTATGCGTGAGGGCAAGGGGGTGAAGTTGATGGCAGGTTCTGTAGCAGACCACCTGCACTGGTGGCTTCCAGACATTGTGCTGCGGAAGTGGAAGTTCCCCATGATGTGGTGTTCTCTGTCTTTTTGTTGGAGCACATGCATTGTAGGCTATGCTCATAATGGGGATTCTGTGGATGCATCTGACCAGAAATGCCCTCGCGTAATTTTAGTGTGAGTTTGCCGTGAACAGCTCATCTGTTGCGGAAGACCTGCAGCCTAGTGACCGTCGTCAGTTGCCCTGGAGGATGCCATTGGTAATGATAGCGATGGTGATGACGTTACAATGACGATAGGATCATGACAAGGTCGACAATGATGTCGGTGACTGCGTGGTAGTCGTTGTTGATAGTGATGATGTTGATGATGCTGAAGATGACATGGTGATGCTGCTGATGCTGATGCTGATGCTGATGCTGATGCTGATGCTGATGGACATGATGGATGGTGGTGAATTCTGTAATCAGGTGGATGAATTGGCAGATATTGCGAGCTGTGGTGCGTGGGTTCTTCCCACAGATGAGGATTGGGAACAAGAATGCAGCACACGCATCTCAGACGTGGTGGAAATCATTGAAGACCGATCTAAGCAAAGTCAGGTCACAGCAACTTTTGGCGAGCGGATCTTGGCCTTGCTAGAGTGAGAACATGTTCCCTTTCCCTCAACTAACTGGGAATAATCCTTTCCTCACCGGATAGGAACTGGTTGGCGCTGGCATTTGCCAAACTGTGTACCAGCAAGGTGTGTGTGTGCTGTCTCTTATACACATCTAGATGTGTATAAGAGACAGATGTATACCAATCTTCCTCATGACCGTATTTGTCATAATGT